CACACAGTCAGCTCCCTCGAGCGCATGCTGAAGAGCAGAATCTAACGTTGTTTTCACTGGATGCGTTTTTAAAGCTTCCTGGTCGCTACGTCACCCTGACCGTGACGTCTTGCCACTACTGGACTGATTTCACATGTGCTTCAGTCATGCAGACGCATTTCTAACGCTGCTCGAGTTCCTGAAAGGGAACTAAGATGAAACTTATTTTAATGAAAAAACTCAAGAAATTATAGAAATGTCGAATTATTTTTTCTCTGTAAATTATACGAAGACTTATTTTTTTTCATTGCCAAAATCTGTAACTCTAATAGTATTTTAGGACCAATAAATGGACATTTTTACCATTAAAATTACAATAATTCTTTACAGAGTGCAGGTACGTAACGTCTTATTTAGCACCGGCACTCTTCACAGACACAGCATAAAATTTGTCCACTGCAGTCAAATTGAGATCCACAGTCTTTTGTTTACCTTATCTTCCTGTTTGTTTTCCATTAATGTCTACGACCTAAAACGGAGACAGAAAACGTTCCAAAGTCAAACAGCTTTCCTAACCTTTTGAAAAAAGAAACAAGCACAGTAGTTATTTCCAGTGTGCTCGCGTTTAACTGATAAACAATATGTTTAAGTGACGAGAAACGTCAAAGAAATCCACACTCTCTGAGGGATACTTATCAGCACTTCTTGCTCTAGTAAACATTAGGCACTAGATCTGTCAGACACGTTTCCAGAGGATTTGTGTAGCCTCGCTGCTTCCCATAATTCCTCATTCGCGCTTTGCTTACGGCTTACTGCCAACTGCCAGGTGACATCTCCAACTGCGCTATGAAAGAACCTGAAAGAAAACCCCACAGAGCGTGACCCCACACTAGTGTCACCCTCAGAGATTAATACACTTGCCTGTTTTTTTCCCTCTGGCATGAATTTTCCATTTTATCTGTTTTTACGTGCCTTTTGTCATTGATTACAGGAATCGATTTTGCTTTCACGCACGACAAGAAAACAATCCTGTGCTTTTGTTTTCTAGTTTGTTTTGAATAGTCAAGGCTTGGCATTTTGATATGTGTTCACACAAGGCTTCGGTGCTGCCTTTCACTTGTCATCATTGAAATCTGCAACAGGCAGCCTGTCTCAAACAGATTGAAATTGAGCACCATGACAGTTCAAAACACAATCTAATTATGTTTCTGCAACTTTTTCCTAGACATGGCAGAGATGGAGGTTTCCGTTCAGGAAGCTGCGGAAGGGTTTGGGAAAATCTACCCAAGTGCTCAGGTCCCCAGACAGGAGGAAGAGAGGGAGGAAGTTGAGGACATCCCCTCTGAGTTCATCTCTAGGAGAGAGCTAGAGAGAGGGAGACTCTCCAGAGACGGTGAAACACTCTCAAATTGTGCACGCATACATTCGGCATACACCGAACATCAAATAGAATTGAGCAGCTCTACTAAAGAATTTGCCTTTTGAGTGTTCGCAAGAAGCATGCAGCTGATCTTTAAAGAGGAAATTAATATTTGATACAAAGAACACCAGGCTGTCGTCATATGACTGTTTGCATGTTTCAGATGTTTGCGAGTGATTGCTTGATGTATTTAATTTAAGTCGGTCAGTCATTCCTAAACGTACATTTGACAGTTTTATCTCTCAGATTTACTTTTCACATGACTGTGTGCGTCTGTTGTATTGATTTATTCTTTTATGGACTCTTTTACATTTGCAGAGATGAAGAAAATGTCTGTGTTTAAAAATTATGAACCTGGAGAGCCAACCTGCAGGCTTTATGTTAAGAATATTGCAAAGCAAGTTGAAGAAAAAGTAAGTATCTGCTCTACCAACACAAATAAAAAAACTAAATTTTACTAGTGGTTGACAGGCATATATAAAGACACACACACACACACACACACACACACACACGCATACACACACACACACACACACACACACACACACACATATATATGATTCATACAGTATTATTATTATTACATTCATTTTTCTTATAATTTTTTTTATACATTTATTTTGTCAATGTATGAATTGGACTAGACAATTACTGGATAACTGGATAATGTAAGGATAAAATGATTTGTTTTGGAAAAAAAGATTTTATATTGATATTATAATAATGTAATATTGTAATATCAGTAGATGAGTTGGACTGGACAATTATTATATAACTGAATAATATAAAAATTAGTGGATGAGTTAATGCATTAATGTATGGATAAATAGTATGTTAAATGTATCTTTTTATTTTTAATATATATTTTTATTGTTTATTATTATTTTTATTTTTTTACAATTATGTTTTATACATTTATTTTCTTGGACTGAACAATTCCTGGAAAACCAGATAACTTATTAATTTATGAATAAACATTAACCAGTTTTGTTAATTGGCTAAGTGGTCATGCAAATAATTTTAAGATGGCTAAATCCTACTAAAACCTATTAGTTGGTCTGGTAGTCTTTATTACCAGTTTTTACAGTAATACTGCAAATATAATATATATATATATATATATATATATATATATATATATATATTTGTATTCTACATACACAAAATTCTTAAGATTACATAACATTTGCTTTACTGTGGGGTCTAGAACAGTCGGAGAGCTCATAATTCTCACTTTAGTACCAGCTACATAACCCAGCTCAATCTTTTCCGCAGGATCTGAAGTTCATCTACGGCCGGTATATCGACATCTCCTCAGAGGAGGAGAGAAACATGTAAGCACCACTGTCTCATGCCTCAGGCCCTTGTCTGGGGCCTTAACTCTGCAAATCACAATCAAAGCCAATGAAAAGAAAACACCACTCCTAGGCTAGTGGTGAATACAGGTGAGTTCTTCATGAACATGTGCTGATGTACAAGTGTGTTTGTTCCCGTCAGGTTTGATATTGTTTTGATGAAAGAGGGGAGGATGAAAGGTCAGGCCTTCATTGGGCTCCCCAGCGAGAGAAGCGCAGAGAAGGCCTTAAAGGAAACCAATGGATATGTACTCAACGACAAACCTCTTGTGGTGGTATCCTTTGTTTTTGGCATTACATTTCTGACAGAATGTTTTGTCTTTCACTCTCCAACAAAAACAATGTGTTTTGCTTTTTACACCTAGGATTTATTTTTTACAAATGTTTTACTGTCAAATAAAATCATGCCTTAACTTAAACTCCAGCAATTCGCCCGATCTGCAAAACCTAAACAGGAATCTGCTGATTCAAAGAAAGGAGGGAAAAAACACTGAACTGGTGGGTTAAAAGACCAACAATTTTTGTATTTATGTAAATATTTTTATGGTTGTGTCTGTTGAAGTGGGTTGGTGAAAAATGTACTGACACATTTTTTTATAAGAAATTATTATAAGTTGAAAAAA